GGGAAATTCAGTTTCTGGATCTTTCCTATCCTGCGTTCTAAGATGACAAGCTACAGTCAACCACCTCAGGTTTCACTGTCACAGCACATTTCCAGTGTTCCAAACAACAACACATACAAGAGTGTGAACACCAGCTGCAAGTGTCCCTGGAACAACAGGAAACAGCTTGAGCTGAAAGGAGCATGTGCCTTTTGCCCTAGAAAGGCACTGATTTTAAAAGACACAGTTTCAAAATTAAGCAATAGACCACAGTACTTCAGTAGGTGGTCCCAAAAAGCTAATATGAAACCTGTCATAAAGGGAATGATTTCTAGGGACTCAAGGTCATAAATCAACCCATTAGGTTCATCTACAGAGATAATCCTGTCAGGAAAGGTAGCACCCCCTAAGGGGTGATAACAAAGCTGTTGACATTAGGATATAGCCCAAAGCATGCAATGTAAGGTACAGCAGCAGATGCCAAGGGTATGGCTTCTGTCCTGGAAGCCCACCAATTGATGTGGGAAAAGTGTGGGGGACAAATTCAACAGCTAGAGAAAGTCCAGAATCAGAATTGCATTGTGAAGTTTGAGTGAAAATGGGATTAATCATATAGAACGATTTTCAAGACTGTCCCAAGCCATGGGATTCACAGGCATCCTTCATGGTGCTATTCTCTGACCACCTCCATAACAGCAAGCATCTTCCCCAAACCATAAAGGTAGGTAGTTCCAGTTTTTCCTTTGTTAATTGTAATGGAGCTTGCATGCTTCCACCTGTCTATTCATTTGTGTCTCAAGTCAGTAACATTTCAAGCATCAGTATTTAAAATATGTACCTATTCAAAGCAACTGCAAGTCAAAACTGGAAGGAAAACATAAAACAATGTTGTTCCTGAAACCAATACAATCTAAGACAAGTCTATGAAAGCCCATATAAAATATGGTCATAAAGTCACTTTCCTGAATGTCTGGCAAGATGCTTCATGTTTTATAGTTACAGATCTTTCCAGAAATTAACATTTGTTTTTCCATGAATAAAGTAATTTTAAAAAGGATTGTGATAACAGGATCTAACAATGGTCTGCTTCATGCTATTTATTCCACAGAATGAGCTTAGATTGCTTGTAAAAATCTTCTCTCAAAAAATCTCTTAAAGTTCAGTGTTGATATACCTTCACCCAAATCCAAGAGCTACAGAAATACAAGCCAAGATGAATCTCTTTAAAAACAAAACGGAAGGAATTTCAGTTAAGTCCATACTGTCTTTGTAAAAATATGTTTTTAATCATCCCTCATGATGCTTAACTGGTTTTTTGACATGGCTAAAGAGTTTCTTCTTTTCATTCAGAAAACAGTATTTTTGAGGTTTTTTTTAATTTACAATTTATTCCAATTGCATTTCTAGTGATTTGAGACTTCTGATGTTAGACTCTTAGATGCCTTAAAAGATATCCAGCACCTCTCATATCCCTCTAAAAATATAAAACAAATTTTTATTTGAATGAAATGGCAGTTAATTGGTTAATATTAGTCTCTGATCTTTTTAAAGTACAAAATATTTAATTTGTGACATGCAACAGGTGTTGTGATAAATGTAAACTTTTTTGTGTCAATAAGCTGTGAAATGAGCACTCAACAGTTCACCACTACTGCAAATAACTTGTTTGAATACATCTTTGGCTTTAAGATGAATTTTAGTTATTTCATTTTATCCTCCCTATGCAAAGCAATAAAGAACTATGTATCCGATTTCATGGAATAATTGAGAAATACATCACAATGCATAAAGGGTTTATTTTCTCCCTGCAATCCACTATCATCAACTTAGATTTCTAGACCAGGGAAGCCACCTGCTGACATTCACAAGCATTAATTGACAGTGTTTATCCTTACCAACCCTGTCTCAAAACTAAGAGTGAATTTTATAAATTTGTCTGTATGCACCAACTTTGAACACACCAAAAGTCCTGGTTTTGGGTAGTGGTGATGCATTTTTAAACTCAAAAAAATCTTTTTCCTGAAGCTATTAAAGGTTCCTGAAAATCTTATCTTCCCCAAACATGCATGCAGCTGCCATTATAAACTGTTCTGTCTCCATGGCTTTTGTTTGTTGACAGTACAATTTTACATATATTTGATTCGACATCTCCCACATTAACAGTACAATAAACATGCCTATATGAAGAGAACTAATAAATAGTACCTTAATCTAAAATTGTGATATACAAGTATCTGAACAAAGGGATTCTTAGTTTTGACTTCAGCTAAAACAAAATACAAGAAACTCAATCTGCATGAGGTTTTGAAAAAAACAAAACCATACCACAATACCACAGCAGAGAACACAAAACCTATAGCTTGATTTCTATTAAAGAAACTACAAATGAAAACTTGAAAGAACCATAGCAGTAAATAATATTAACACTTAGACCAAAATATTTTTGTTTCCTAAAATATAATTTTCCTTGGCTTTTTTAATATTTACCATTATGTAGTGAACTCCAAAGACCCACTGACATGCATTCACTGTACTGAATGAATTAGAATGGTAGTGTTCATTGAAGCATACACCACAGGGAATGACTTGTAACTAAAGTACACTAATTATCTGGGAACTACATTCAGCAAGCATCTAAAATATTTTTAAAGAGGCATTAGATTTCAAACTCTTTTTCTATAAAAAAAGATAGCTGCAATTTACATAGCTGTCTCTTATTTTGGGAAGCAAAGTAATGAATTTAACAGATCACACTTATAACAGATTCCCAGCAATATGGTCTGTCTGAAGAGTCACATAGCCACATTGGTGGAATGTGTGTACATCTAACTATCTAGGAAATGGCATTTCTTTTACAGTTGTATTTTTAGCATAGAATTTCTTTTAAGATTTAAATAAATGTTAGGAAATTCTTTATAATAATGCGATTCAATAAAATATTACTTTAAAAAATATTTGCACCATTTCTCTCCCATTTTTTCTTTAGGCAAAGGAAATTAATTTAGGTTTTCTAACTTTTACATTGCCAAAAGTCAGCAAAAAGTTGCAATGCTTAAGCCATAGCCACTGGAAAAACATATTAAATAAAAATGGTGTATAATGTTTGGTTCCTTTTATGAAGCTCCAAGAACATATTTTGATTGGTACGAGAGGGGCTTTGCAATATAATTATTTACAAAAATGTACATAGTCTGATTCTGCTTAGAAAAATATTCTCTTAAAATTTAAAATTTTCAGTGCAACAGTCTCATTGCCAGACATAGCACCTGGTTAATCACACAGCCCCTTTTTGTGAAGTTCTTTTTTTTTTCCCTTTTCAAATCCCTGTCCTTCCCCAAAATTGTCTCCATATGAACCTGCATAGTCAAGATGACAATGAAAACCTTTAAAATAAGTTTTAAAAAGCATTCATGACATGAATGAAACTATGTACTGCTATTTTATTGATATTTGATAATATTTTTAATATTATCAAATTATATCATTTTTATTGACATTTGATAATATTGATAATAACATTTGGGTGAAATGGTATTATCACTAAGCTGAAATGGGTGGATAAAAGAACTTTTGGCACCATTGGCACTTTCAGCCAAAACACCAAATAGAAATTTTCTCTAGCACTCACTTAGCTTTGCTACTGTTAAACACCTCACAGAGCATGCTTTGCAAGCAGACACCATGTAGAACCATTTAAAGATACCTCTGACTGAAATGTCAGATCTGAAAAAGGGGAAGAATAAAAGAGAATTTCATATCACATTTTGTTTCTCCTCAGTACATAATCTTTATGTTGGGATCTTAAGACAAATGAGTCAGAACTAGCACTGATGTATTATGCCCTTGTTGAGTAATTTCACTAGAGAAGGAATCAGTACCAACAAACCTGACAAATGTCCAGGCACACTTTCTGCAAATAGCCTTAGAAAGAGCCATTGAGTGTGCTTTGTGGATTTACATATAGCAGCTTTAGTCAGTTTTCTGTGCCAGGAAATTAAACTACTCTGGAGAGATACTTTAGCCTAAAGAGTACACTATCTTAAATGCTTCTACAGGACATGCATCTAGAGTGATTTATACCTTCTAGTTATTAATTTTACACATCATACATTTAGGAAAATAAATGGAATAAATATTAGAAAAGTAAAAAGGAGTAAAGTGCAGAAAATTCAAATAATCTTTTAAATCCAGAGATCACTGGTCCATGGAAATTAATATCCAATCTTCAGGATGTTAAACATATTGAACAACATAGCAATTGCACCTGCACAAAACCTTTGCATAAAAAAGTTTCAAAATCTGTATCAGTGTCTTTGAAATTCCACCAGTATCTACCAATGAAACAACTAATTTCGTATAATTAACAATAGCAGACATCCTAAGTGCTTTAGGACTTTCCATTTTCAAAAGAACTCAGCACTCATTTCAAATGTCACTTGCTACTAACTGATTAAAAGAACGAATATTTATTTTCCTGATCAGTTTTATATTTACTTAAAAGATTTTACATAGGAAAAACACTAAAAAAAAAAAAAATCAGTACTGACTGAATCCTTTCTCCCTTTTTTATAGCCAAACTGAGCTGAAATACTAAATTAAGAAATTTACCAGAACCTGAAAGAAAATCTTGCATAAATCTTCATTCTGCAGAAACATCCACTGGTAATGATCCACTATAAAATGAATTTTAAAAACCTGCTGCATTTAGTAATTCCTCCAAAAGGGACAGGCATCTTTTCAGGTAACTTTAGTGGGTTTTCAGCTTTTTTCAGTTTGAACTGGCTTACCAATCTCATTTATGATGTCAGCTTGGCATGAACTCAGCCACTACAAGTTATCAGAGAGCTCAGTTTTATGATTATAGACCAAGAGCATTAGCATAACATTTCAAGAAAAGTGAGATTCAGGAAAGTTTTAAAATTGATACTGCAAAGAGAATTTATTTTAATTTTTGTACATACAAAGACACTCAGTGATGCTCCATGAAAGAGCCTAACAAAGCAAATGTCAGTTAAACTGACCTTTTGGAGTCTTCCAGCCTTTTTTAAGCCCCCAGTGTGCTTATTCTTCTGCTCATTAAACATTTTGCAAGAGGCATCAGTAATGTGACACTCTGAAACTTCATCTTCACCACCTAGAAACCAAATTTAGAAACTTAAAATGAAAAATGCAATCTTGTGAAATGAGACTGCAACCTATTATTTTATCATAGCACAGCACTATGCACCCTTGAGATATTTAATAATTTGCACCAGCTTTTTTCACTGGATTTCAGTTAGGGAAAATGATGACACTCAAGCATCTGATTTAATATTTGAGTACCTGTTCTTATAAATAAACCAGTTGTAAAGCTCCCAATTTCCTATATTTTGAAAACTATATATTAACTACAAGTAGAGAATCTGCTAAATTGCTATATATTATAAAATATGCAATTTCTCTGCATAGAGATATTTGGGTATGAAGCTTCAGTGACTAGATTTTCTTTTTCTTATTGACACTTTTGGTACACATTTTGTTTATCTAAAACGACATGAAGGTCTGAAACTTGTTTTCACACTTTGCATGCAAATCTAGCAAACTGTTGGCAGGCAAGGATTCTGTGCACATAAAGGCATATCAAACCTATTATATATGAAAAGGAACAATCCATAAGAATACACTCCATCAAAACCCAGTATTTTTCATTATGTATTTTATGAATTCTTCAACTCTGTTAGGATGAATTTCCTAAGAACTAAATAATAAACTTCTGAATCATTTGAGAAAATAGATTGCCTTCCTAAGATGAAAAAAAATGATCTATCTTTTAAACAATTAAGCTTTAATTACTCTAAATTTAGAGAGCATTTTTCCCAAATGTCACTCAATAAAGTCTAATTTAGAACATTTGATCATTTTTCATTTCAAAAAAATGGATGAATCAGTTAAAGAAAGTTTAATTAGTGATTAAAGTGGCCTAAATTTAGCTCCTGCCAACTAAGTTTTTTGATTAGTTTTGGAAAATACTGAAGGGTACTATCCCTAGTATGCATATATTACTAAGAATCATTTGTTTTTCTCTGACAGCTACTTAAACACTTAATCCTTGAGGTGACAAAACATCAGATTACAATTCATTATGATTTTTCTCTTTAAAATTATAATCTTTAAACTAGTCAAAATTTATTGTGGTAATTTTTGTGTAATAAATGTAAACCTGGTTTTCAGGTACAATTGTTGATTTAAATTCAATATTTAGGTATATAGTGTCATGTAATAAAGAAATAACTAATAGCTATGTTAATTTTATTTAGTATTGTACTGAGACCAACTGTTTTCAATCTGAGGAAGACTGATGGCAAATAGAAGAGGAGAAAACATCTTGCCATACAATAAAGAAAAAAAATCTTTTTCCATAAAAACCAGAACTTTTAAACATGCATTTCAAATCTTGAAAAAAGACCCAAACTAATTACATGACTGCATAGGATGTAAGGAGATCATGTATTCCACTGCTTTACCAACGTAGTCTCTGTTAATTTCAATTAGGTTATTTCAGGGTTTTTTTGAAGGGTGGCTTGGGTTGGGGGCTAACAGTGAAAAGTGGTGTAATATTCTAATAATCTTTTTACTACTCTTGGCCTGAATGCTCATGCTCCACAGCACTTGTCCCACTTGGGCTAAAGTCTTAAAACCTGTACACTTGGACTTCTTTCCAGTTCGGGTTGACTGTACACTTGGACTTCTTTCCAGTTCGGGTTGACTCCTGTGGGTTCTTCATATTTACAGGAAAGTAAGAAGAGAGGATAATGTCCCTTATCTCTGATTATCAGCTCATGGATCTTAGGCATTACATTAATAAGGCCTATTCTTTGCTATTTTATTCCTGTCTAGCAGCACTTCTCAAGCACTTTCCAGCTTTTCCATCCTATAGGTCTCAAGCTCCACTATTTTCTGTTTTTTCCTGATTACTTTTTAAAGCAGTCAGGCATAAATAAATGAGTTTTCATCTCTAGTACTTTCTCCTAGAGGACTTTAAAGTTGACAGAAGTTTTTGAAGCAATTGCATCCAGTGTTAGTTCTCCCTAAACTAAGTTCAAATATGCAAGTAACTCCTGCCACTGCAGTCCACTAGATCCCCTAAATCCTCTTCCAAAACACTGCTCAATGATTGGCACTAAAATGAACAACTGAGCCCTCTGAAGCATTATCACAAATTAGAGAGATTTTGCTTTGCAATTTAAGCTTCTACTCATTCATGATAATTTTAACACCTAAGAGAAGTTTTCAACCAGAATATTATCTTCAAAATTCCATTTGATATTTCCATTGAATTGAAAAGCAGTGATTAGGCAAAATGAGCTAGTTCTGCTCAATCAAATAAACCATGTCTATCTAATAAAATCTTTTCCTATTGTACAATACTTTAAAGGTATTGTTCTGAAGTGTCATTCAGGGTATGTGGTATCTACTGTTTTGTACTTATCAAAAGAAGCATTTATCCCAACATGAAGGAATTAAATCCAAATTTGTCATCATTAATAATCCTTTAGGTACACATGCACAGAATATTTAATACCTTGTGTTATTATATTATAGCATATAGATATTACTGAAGCATTACCAAACAAATTTTTATTTTACAGAACATAATTTCTTCAAGTTTTCTGAAAACGTATGTGTCCCCCCAGATCCTCACAGAGAGCCTGTTAATGGTTTATAAAAATTGTATGTAATTTGCTATCTGCTCTAGGACAAGTGCCATCAGGCTTTGGCAAATTTGACTGCATCAAAATAATTCTCAACCTCTTCCTCTACTCAGAAATACTTGTCCTCTTTTGTTTTAATAATTAGTTATAATTAAACTTTTTGGGATGATAAATAAAACAAGGAATCAAGGAAGAAACCGTTTTCTTCTTCATGCCTCTTTTGTTTTTTAATAGGCCATAACAGAATCTCAATAGAGGACATTACAAAATATTTTTAGTGAGCCTATCTTCTTCCAAAGCTGAAAAAAACCAAAAGGCACATCAAACTTAAGGAAGTTTTCACATGTGTGCTTTTAAAGACATAACCATTATTTTAGCAGCATTAAGACCCTTAACACCTAGAACTTCAGGTAAAACTCAATAATCTACTAAATTAAACACAATTTCTTGCACCAAATAACAGAACGACATTCTAGATTTTCCAACTTAACACTGAACTACATTAACTACAGTACAATGGGTCTTAGTTTAAGTCTTTTTGCCAATTAAGATAATATTTGCCTTCCACATTAGCATAAATATATAAAATTCACTCAGATAAGCCTTATGTTTATTTTTAAGACTGGAAGAAATGCTAGGTCTGAGTTCAAATTTCTAAATGATTTTAGCATGATGAAAGCTTAAGAGAGTGTACTCTCACATTCCATGTGCATTGTTATTTATTGTTGTAGCTTTCAGATGAAGAGTCACATGACCTGTGGATGAGTAAGATGAACATAAGTAGCACAATTTATTTCAGCAGAACAGGGCAGCCTTGAACGTGCCCTACAAAGGAAACCGAAGCTTGCTACCACATAAGTATTAGGCCTTGAAAATCTGGTTTCAGATTAGCATGCATATTCTACTTTAAAATAAAATGTTCTATATAGCCTATGGAAAGAAAGCTTATCAAATCATCTTGTCATTAGAAGTACTGGGTAAAAGTGCCACTGACATAAAATCACAACAAAAAAATGGGTAAGAAAAATGTTAGATATTTAAAACAGATATAACATTTTATATGGCTATTGGATTACTTGTAACCATATGTATATGATGAAGACAATTCATTAGTTTTTTAAAAATATACTGGATTTACCAGCTTTCAAATAATGTACAGGATACAGAGGAAAAACCCCAATTTGCAATTTATTTAATAATAGGGACAAGAAACAACTTACATTTAATTAAAAATGAAATGCTTAACCCATAATTAATAAAAATCAATTATTTCATCATAGAGAATCACAGGAGTAAGTGTAATACAAGATTTTAATTTTGTACCACGAAACTTGCATTATTAGGGAAAACACAACTTCTCTTACATTATTGATTCCTTCCATTTTTAAGTGAGTTCATTCAAGCTGTCAAACTTGAGGTCCTATTTGCCTACACTTTGTGTAAATCTGTGGAAATAATATACTTTGGTGAAATTACGGAAATCCATTTCATCAGGTCCAGCATGTCAGTAGCAAGCTTGCTGTATGCCCTCCTTGCTGCCCCAAGATCTTGAACTCCAACATTTCATGGCAACTTCAGCCTAGGCTGTCCTTGAGCTCCACATTCCTCACCAGCACCTCCTTCTTGGGGAGACCAACATGGGACCTCTGCTTCCTGGCTCATCTATCACTTGGAGCAGAAGGCTGTCCTTTATGGTTGTACATTTATACCTGTATGACATACAGCTGCATCCACTGTTTTTTTAAACTGTGTCAGAAATGATGCACTCCATATATTAAAATACAGGTGTAATGAACTCAAAATGGCAGCTCACAGTTCAGCTGCTTATTACTCACATGTATAGGCACAGTCATGGTTCAACATTCCCACTGGATTTCATAAGTCTGAAAGCAATTTTGTTGAGCCCTTTAAGTTAATAATTAGTTTTATATAATTAATTGATGCATTACTACAGAATTTTTTAGGGAAGATAAATTACGAAAATACACAATTATAGTTACAAATATTCAACTCCATGTAAAGCTTGACAAAGCTAAAAATATCAAAATATGAAAATTGTTCTAATGTAAGTTAGGAGCATCTTTCAGAGAAATTCCTGAGATTTCATATTTTAGAATCATTTACATAAAAATACTTTATGCTAAACCAACTCGAAAATGCTTCAATATAAAAAATGCTCTTAAATTGATAATTAAAAATTAAGATCAGTTCCATATAAAAAAGTAATGGTTAAAAAAGATGCTTACATCGAAACTCTTGCAGGTCTTATTTTATCGCACAAGTTACACATTGCTAACTCAAATATTTTTTTCCACTAGAGATTTTATGATCCTAACTGCAATTTTGGTAACAATTTTCACTTGTGAAATAAAAATAATTTGAACAAGAGAACGTATGATGAGACCATGGTTTCTTAAACAGATTTTGAATAGCAACAGAAGGTTAGGAGACTGAGAGAAACAAGGCTCAACATTACTTTTTGTATGTACAGTGAGCAGTTTCCTTATCTTCTATGACTTTGTGTTTGTAAAGTATGGGAAAACAAATAGGTGTTCTTTCGGATTCTATGCATTCATTTATTTGACTCAGTAATTAAGTCAGTACCACAGTATTTTCTTCTTTTGGTGTGTTTCTGAAGTATTTTTCCTTTTGGAATGGCAGTTCATTTTGCAATTTGGTTGCATTAGTATATCTAATGCAGTATTATGTCTTTTGATTTTCCAGCTCTATGTAGTAACTTACCAGCAGTGTGAGCACAGTCATTTATACTGTTGTAGGATTTTTCATGCTGTGGCAGCCTGCTCACATCATCAGCATCTAGAGCTTCTCCAGAGTCATCTTTTTCACCACCTGATATATTTAATGGTATGCTTCCTGGATATTTAGCTGATTTGATTTTTTGCTTTACTGGAAAATCATTTACTGAAATAGACATCTTCCTATTTATCTTAGTGTTATGTGGCTCACAGAAACTCACATCATGTAGGTCCATGCTTGTAGAAGAGTCTTTGCAACAAACTTCAGGAGGATTCTGTGATTCCTTTGGTACTTGTATCTGTACTTCATTTTCATTTGAATTACATGATGAAAAGTAGTCTTCATATGAAGCCTCTTCAGTGCAATAAGACTTGCTATAAGAAGTAATTTCTTGCAAGAACCCCGTAGAGTCTGATGCACCCAGTTCTGAGGTAGCGAGCTTCAAACTTGGTAATGTTTGTAGTTTCTTTCTCTTCTTGTCTTCAAGAACAGAATCATTTCTGTCAGCAGGGAAGCTTTTATTCAGTGAATATTCTTTTAAGTCTCCACTATTCATAGGCAAATTAGAGAGACTGTCAATCAAAGCAGGAACAGTATTTAAGCGGACTATTGTTCTGGAAGGAGTAATATGACCAAAGCCCTCAAGAAGAGAACTTTCATTTGCAATTGAAGTAGTCTTGCTCTTGTTCTTTTGATTTTTCTTTGGAAAATTTAAATGTTTTTCTCCTAAATCCAATCTGTCATCCAAAGTAGTCTGTTTTTTTGTTAAACTTCTGGTACGTTGTTTTGGTGTTAATCTCTTCTCCTCATTGCCATGTGATGGAGAGTTCACTGATGTGCTCATGGAAACATGAATATCAGTCCAAGAACAGGCATGTTCTGCTGCCTCTGTTCTCGGTCTCTTTAGCGGCTCAGTTCTCCAAAGATAATCACAACTGGAGTTCAAGCAGTCTTCCATTTGTTCTTCTGCAAAACAAAAAAAGTGGCAATATAAATGTATTGAACAAAACAGAAAGAGTATCAATTTCTCAGTGAAATATATATGGAATTCCTGAACTGGAAAAAAAAAAAGATTAGCCACTTCTCTGGACATTATATGGCAAGTCAACAAAAACTGAACAGAAAATGGATTAGAAACAAAGCACATTCTATGCTGACAAAAACCTACAGTTCTAGTTATTGTATCCCCTAACATGGTCATAAGCACCCACAAGTCCCATTCTGCTTTCTTGAAAAAAGGCAACAGAGCAAATCGTTATTCCTCTTGCATTTGTAGAGAAGGCAAAGACAAAGTTAGCTTTAATAACAGTGGAATCTCAATAATAATTTTTCTACCACAGCATTAGTACTACCTTGAAGAGTTTGCAGGTAAGGTGGATTTAAATACAACACCATACTATCGTGTTGCATAGATTAAAACCATGTATTAAACATAATAAGAACGTGGATAGACTTATTTCTTGTAGCTATTCTTATGAAATTAATTTGTGTTAGGTGTTACACAGAATCTATTCATAACTCTTCACACTAAATTCCTCCAAAACAAGTTAATGTACTATTAATCTCAACATACATTTTTTAAAATCCTGTTGTTCTGCAAGATGATTGCAATAGAAGCTTTTGCTAAAGTAGCTGTTTAGTGCAACATCACAGAATATTCATTCTTTAAGTTCTTGATGTTATTTGCTTACTAGATATAGATAATATTTTTAAACATATAGTGTAGCTAACTGTATTAAGAAAAATAAAACACAGACATGAATTTCACATGGTATGATCAGTATCTCATACTGATAACTGACAAAGCCAGCTTCAATCCTCAAATTAACTGAGCTTCTCGAACTTTCTAAACCTTTATTAACCAATCTCATATATCTCTTAGACACAAAGATAGGGGACACTGTCACAGAGCACTGGAGATGGAAGCTGCACTGAATGCTGTCATGGGAATTGGTGGTCCTAATGTAAAATTACATTGTGCAGTTGCAAAGCTGAAGGGACATACACAAGGAAAGCTCTCAAATCACAATGTTCTACGTCATCAGCACACAGCTAATCTACCAAAGTAAATGAGTTTGCTGGCAGAGCTATGCTACTTCCAGTATTCAACTATCACTTCTCACTAATATTGCATGAAGACATAACAAGCTGTCGTAGGCTACAAGATACCCACAGTGTTCTTAGGTCAGCCAACATGACAGAACTCCTGGCTCATGTCAATAAAATATAACACCTCAAAATAGCACGTGGTATAGCTTACTGTTGAGGGAGAATGGAGAGTAGACAAACTGCTCTAGTGGCCCTTATTACAAATTCTAAAGACTCCCTTCTCCTCACTTTTCTACTGAGGTCAAGGCCAGCATCTGACTTGAGCTCTTCGCCCCTGTGACTGAGAGATGACATGAGGTCTGAAGCACAAACCTACTGCATACATAATCAATACTATTAAGATATTCACTGATGTAGCTCAACAGACATAACAATCTCCTCCCTGCTAACACACCAAAACACATGAACAAACCCCTAATTGATGAGAATAATTTTATGAGGTTCTTACCTTACTAACAAATTATTTTAATCCATCTTAAACCATAAAACCTTAAAAAAGCTGATGTATTTTTACTTGTGTTATTTCTTCAAACTTGATCACTTAATCTGAAAAACACATTAGGCTAACTTTCAAATTCATGCTTTTCAACTGAAACTTTGGAAGACATTTCAGTTCTTTGAGGTCTTATCCTCATTCAGATCTCTTTTAAGCTTCTCACATCACACTCTTTGGTGAGCACTCTGTGTTCTATATATGATCACTGTTAAGAGCAGAGAAGATTGATACCATGTAGGACAGAAAGATATTAATAGGGAATGGTATGAGTAGAGAGGAGGAAGTGAGGCAAGCAATACAGCTGTAAGGCAGAGCATTTACCTAGTGGTATCCTCATGCTCTATTTTTCTTGACTTCTTAGTATAACATACTTTCTTTAGTAAGGAAAAACTAAGATAATTCAGCTTTAAATATAAAAGATCGAGAAAATGGATGCAGTTCTCATTTCACTATACCATATTTCCAAAGTAAGATATAAAGGCCATGTACTATTTTTAATTTCTGTAAATATATTAAGTAGTGTTAGTTACCAGGTAGCAGCTCATCTTCTGAATTAGTTAAGATGCAAGTAGAAAGTGGGCAGTCTCCTGGTGAAGTACTTGGAAGTGTCTGAGTCATTTGTGAAGCTAGGAGTAAAAAAAAACTATTAGATATTTGTAAGCATTTTTTCTAGGTAACTCAGCACACATTTTTCTGAATCTAAAGAATAATGTAAAACTATTTAGAAATTATTACTGATATTTCTAAAGCCTGTTGAGGGATTTTACTAAAGAATCTGTGAAGTCTTGCAATTGGCAATCACGTCTTAATATAGCAGAAATGTTTTTAATGTTTGAAGGTTTACCTTAAAATTTGGAGAGAAAGTAAATACAAGCCTCACTAAAATAAACTGAGATTTAATTTTTCATCCATTTGTATTACTGTTTCTTTACTTTAACAACTGTTTTTGAAATTAGAAATTTCATTGACAGTATAGGTGACATGCACATCTTAAAACTTCAAATACTGCAGATGCTGCCCCACCAAAAGATGTTCTACATTCAACATTTTTATAGTAATTGGCAAAACCTACTGACTTAGATCTTACTATTTTCTCAGTAAGGCAATGGAAACACTAAAAAAATCTGCAAACTACAGTCTAGATAGAATTCATTAGAATATCCATTTTAAAATTGACTAGATTTATTTATTTAGGTTATTCACATTTATTTATTTTTTAAGTTCTGTTCCTCAGTACCTGGACAGATATCTCATCAGTTCTGGAGTCCTTTTTAAACTGTTGATGTGGGAGATAAGGAAATAAGATTTAGAGTTTCACTGTCAAGTTTAAGTAAGAGGTGACAATATCAATTGACATGGCTAGAAAGTCTAGCATAAACATTAGTCCTCCTGAGCAGCCTAGTGATTAAAAAATTATTTTGCAACCACTGTGTTCCAAACATGCAATCAAGAAAAAAATTCTAAAGGTGAGAGCACTGGTGCATGAAAAAGTCAGCAATAAAACCAGCAGCCATTTGTGCATACTCATAACTAAGTAAAATTCAGCTTCTTACCAGTAGGAGAAAGATTCTCTCTTTTTTCCTTCATATCCTTTATTCTTCTTTCCATTTCATTGCATTGGTCTTTTATCTTATTAACAGGGCTGTATATAAGTGAACCATTGTCTTCAAATAATAAAACTGGTACATCTGCATCTGCACAAAGAAATTGTATTTATATATTAATATTTGAATGCTGTAACAACCTGAGATGAAGTTTCTTTCTTTAAAAAAAAAAAAAAAACACTTGGCAAAAAAATGTTTTGTTAGATCAAGGTCATTACAGATACCTTAACACAACAGAACTGCAAAGAACTCAGTAAAAATGACATCAACTTAATTTCTCATGGTAAGATGCAAAAAGCTCACAAAAACCCCAAAACCACCAAAACCCCAACAAGTGCTTTAAAAAATTTTCACATCTTAGTAAAAAATATTCTTACCAGTATTAACTGCAGTCTTTTGTAGAGCTAACTCTTTAGCCATTTGGTTCAGTCTTTTTTGAAGCTTTTTATTATTTTCTGGAGTTTTTTCAACATAGTCTTTTGGCTGCATACATTTGTGCTACAAGACAGACAAAACTCTTAAGTATATGTACAAAACTGCCAAAATAATGACACCCCCCTATTTTGCCTACCACTTTGTCACAGTATTTATTATTGGTATTTATGCTGCTTATCACCTCCCCGAGAGTGACAGATAATCACAGAAATTAGCATTTTGCAAAGGAAACTTTAATATTAAATAAGAAAGAAGGTAATAGACTTTTTTTTTGCTTGCACTAAAGATTTAAAGGTAGTTTTAAAAAATATTTGTTGCAACTCTGTAAAACATAAGCCACATAGTAGTTGTGGTTTTTTGCTTAGTCAGCATTATATAATTTGAATTTAGATCTTAATATTTTTAATTACCAATACAAAAACTTGATTTATACTTTCTTCACATGATCACAGCAATAGACAGTCTTTAAACTCTTACTGAGATGGACAGATAGAGTTTACAGAATGTTCTGAAAATATTTCAAATGCTTGAGGTCAAAAAGTCAAGTTCAAACTTTAAAGTTTTTTATTCTAGGTCCATTAAAAAAAACACATACTTTTTTGATTGGTAGTAGAAATCCTTCATTAGTGTCTACTGCAGGAAATAGGGATTCATCAACATGGGCTCCAGTTTCTCGACACCTGTACAGTAAATTAGAGAAGGTTTGGTGGGTTTTTATTCTCTTGGTTTTGTTTGAAGAATGAGAACCTTTATTACAAGAAGAGTTGTCTGAGCCCTGTAATAATGCAATAATGAAACACCAATCCTTTCTAAGTGTGTAACTTTAGGTTAAGTACTGTAATGTTACCCCTTCCCCTGCCAAACATGTGATCCAAATTTTTGTGCCAACGATGCCCTCCAAATTGCTGTTGTGGAAGGGCAAGATTCCCACGGATGTTACTTTCCACACCTTTCCAAGCAGCAGGCCTGTGCTGGCAGCAGCCGCTCGCGTGGCTCTGGTGACACCTAGCGATGGAAGCGCCACACGGTGTCAGCCTGTACAGTTATGGCTTATCCTTACTCGGCTTGGAATGGACGAGAGAGAGAAATCACTGCAAGCATTTGTCAAACTCACTGAATTTACAGTTCTCAGGAGCATCAAAGAGAGAGATTCACCAGCTGGACTTCAGTGACTGTTATTAAATTCTGGATAATAGTCAGCAGAGATGTAGACTACATGAAAAATTACATTAATTCCGAGATTTCATTGATTCAGAGAAACAAAACAGAAGACAATTTTAGTATTAAATCTACGAATCTTTTACTTTGCAGACAAATCTGAATGTTAATGTTTTATATAACTTATTTGTGGGATGAGTTATCCTGCTAAGAAAACACAGGTATAGCTTCACAATTACGCATTTGATGTGGAAGTATTAAGTGTGCCTAATTTGGGCAGATTGTAGCTATTCCATTTTACATGGAGTTTTGCTCCTGGGTTTTGATTTCTTTTTAGACTGCTCACTTAAGTATTTGTGTTAAAGAAGTAATAAAAAACTTTTTCGCAGTGATCCCAAAGCTGTCACCCATTTTGCATTACACTTTAAATTTTTTTACATGACAAGTCCATGACTTTTGTTTGCTATTTTTAAAGTTAGACACATCTATCATTCTTAGAAGAAAAAAAAGCAAAAGCAAACAATAGTTTTAAAATTTAAAATAACTTTACTCTGCGGTTATAAATTTTTCAGATTTTTAATTTTCATCCTAAAGAGTTGTCTTCTCGAATTACTTCCTAAACTGTAGAACTGCATACAGTTTAGGCTCAAATAGATGCTCATGTTATAGAGCAGAAGCTTCCAATAAAAGTTTGAGGCAAATCATTGGAAAGAGCACTAGAAATCCAGTAAGAATTCAACAAGGCAATGATCACTAAATACTGCACAAACCCTTCAAATGTTTCAGGCTTTTATGGAGAAAACTAAGTATTACCACTTTTCAGCTCATTGGGCATATTCCTCTGAGAGGCTCAAGCACTGCTCAGGGGAAGGCAACACTGGAGTGGGTACAAGTTTAACAGGCTGGAAGTAGGGGTTCACCAGCTGTTACGTGTGAGAGTATTTCCCACAAAGAGGAAGAATCAGGAAAGTCCTTGTCTGGTATTTTCAGAGCTCCAACATCAAAAAAGTAGCATCCAGATTAAATATCATAAACTGCAGCACCCTGCAGGGTCCTCCAATATGAAGATACCCAAGAGCATGTAAGAACATAAAAACAAAGCCAAACATTCCCAGTTTACCGAGTTCCACAGATTTCTGGTTGTCCGATGGTAAGAGGCAATACTATGCTTGGGTTTTGATAAAATGAAATGTTTAATTGCTTCTGTAATTTTTTTACCCCGTGTAAATCTTTGCTCACTATGATTTTGCAACAAGGAGTTCTACAGCCTAACCCTGTGTTGTTGAAACTCATAATTTACTGTTTTTTCTGATTCTATCTCCACATGTATTGATGTAATGCTTTCCAACTTTTCTACTGGAAAGGAAATATAGATTCATTTTCCATTCAGCCTCTCTACACAAACTTTTGTGTTCACAGTAGTCTCCCATCCTAACTCCTTTTCCATACTGAAGCATTCTTTTCTTACAAGATGTGATTGAAGAGACAACTATTTTATAACTTCAGTCAAGCTCATTGCTATCCTCTGGCAACATTCCAAATACAACTATGATAAAATGCTGTCATTCCACTATATAAAGTTTCATGTTCTATTTAATTTGATTTTTGACTACTGCTGAGGTAACAATGCTATGAAAATGTCTACTGCAAGTATCAAAATGCAATGCTCATCTTTTTGATATGCTTAAGAAGACTGCTTTAAACAGCCTTCTTGACCCCAGCAAGAATTTTATTCCCTTCAGTCTTAGCTTCTTAACAGATTTTTTTCCATTTTAAGTAGACTCCTTTTTAAATTTAAGCATTGTCATAGAATTTCTTGGGTTTGGTGTTCCAGTATGAATACTTATACTGTAGACATACTTATGAAAAGGTTCTTTGATACAGTTTGAACAGCAATCAACAAACCAATTAAGACCAAGCAATAACATATTTGGTTTTGCACTGCACTCCTACAGGAGTCACCAACCCCCAGTCTACACCAGAAAGATGATACATACTATTACCTTGCTGAGATAACATTTCACAGCTTTTCTGACCATTTTGAGAATGTTCCACTTGTTACTGAATGAAGTAGCTAGTTAATCAAGCCAGCTTTTTTAGCAATGCTAAAACTTCAACTCATAGGAACTCTGCATGATTTGCCTACATAAATTATCAGGTTTAAACTAAGTTTCTATTCACATAGGACCATAATTTTATGGGTACATATTATTCAGTCCTTCCTATTTACATTGTTCCAGGATTCAATAAACTATCTTCTATCTTCTACCTACCAGTGTCTGAGACATGGATGTACTAGACATGTAATGTAGTCAGGCACTCTGGTTCTCTTATTACAAAAACTGAAAATTTGTATGTATACTACCACAGACTCATTTTAATTTTGTACTGTCTGTGCCTCATTTGAATAACCCCATGAACAGTAGGAATATTCATTACTATCTCTTATACAAGTTTCAGTGCTCTTGACCTATATTTTGCTCAAGGATATGATATTCTTATGAATTCTGCTTAGAGCATACACCAATCTAAGCTGTATGTTGTTCTGTACCCTTTGGCATTTACTTTAAACTAAGGAGCAGAAGAAAAAGATCATAGAGAAATTCAATGATAATTCACAGCTTGAGTCCTCCTCTGAAATAAAATACATCTATTTTAGATGACTCCTCAAGTTCCAACAAACTTCATCTTCTAAGCCATGTACCAAGACCTTGCTTTGGTCAGAAAATTATAACAGGAATACTTAAAAGATACCAGGAAGATGCTAGCCTTCACTTTCCTACCAAACAATCTAAGTTTTCCCTGTAGATGCTTTCTCTTGTCTTCCTTTGTTGCTGTCATCCAGCAAAAGTTAAAGTTCCTTGAGGCTTTTACCCCTGGATTTCAAAACTCCATGATGTCCCCTACAGTATCACATATCCAGCTGTTTCTATGCCTCAGCTTTCTACAGTGTTCATTTACTCAACGCCTTCCAGCAGTGCAGAGGAGAATCTTTTGGTGGAACTGCTATCACAGAGAGAATATTTCTGTATGACATGTCCTAGACTCTCCCCTGTAAGGCACTCTCATTCTTCCATTGCTGGTGGTACTCATCTGGATTTTTATGAGATCCTTTTTACTACAGCACATCCAAATCACCAATAATTTATAGTTCATGTGGCTAAGATTTCAAATTCTGTATTTATACACTTAGCCACATGAAGAGTATATTCAATTTTACAACAGTATTGAAATCATCATCACTGTCACACATTCAAATAGCACCAGGTCCCTGAAAGACATTTTCACATAAATAAAATTTTGCATCACTCTCATTTTCAAGAACTTGAGGTATTTCTTCTTTGGTGTTAAAGCCGACTGGATTGTGTGACTGTAACTTCTATATCTGACATACTTTAAAAAAAAAGAAAACTCCTGTGTCTGCAGGTTTGCATGAATTTATTTTTTGGCTAGGAACTTGCATCATAAGTTTCCAGGCTGTACTGGCGTACATTTAGGTGTCTGTCTGTAGGGCATAGATTTGTGCTCCCCTTTAAAAAAAAAAACAACCAAAAAAACAAACCAAAAAAAAAAAAAAAAGACAAAAAAAAACCACCAAAAAAAAAACCAAGCCCAAAATATTTGCACTTAGCAAATGCCAAAGGACTGGTTGCACAGATGAAATTTTTCTTCAACTTTTTAAAAAATAAATTGAACTTTTTCCATATGGTAGAAGAGACTTTTCATGAAGTTTTGTTCTGAACTTGCCAAATATCTTAAAAACCAGAATACATATGGATCTTTTTCTTTCTTGATAGGATTTATTCTGTTTACAGGATTTAACTACAGAAGCAGTACAATGCCCTTGATGAAATGTGCTTTTACATATGAAAATGGAAGAACTGTAATGTAAGTATGGCCTTTGCTGTCTATACATGCCATCTGAGAGCACAGGAGTAGAACTGTTAACAAATGTACTATGAAAATAGTTCACCACATTTATTTTTTAAGAGTTTACATTTTACCTTTTTGTGTAAGTCACATGCTTTATAATAGGAATAATGTCACAGAAAAGTTTTCATTTACTCACAGATTTATCACATTTATTTCAAGTACATTAATAAAACAGTTATTGTATTTAATTTTTTCAATTTAAAAATACTAGAAAATTATTATTATTAAAATATTATCTCTGAAATAGGCCACATTCATTATAACCACAAGTACTCACTTTTCCACCCAGAGTACAGAAACTATTTTTACACCCATGTTCTGTGCTTTCTTCCATGTAGTCAAACGTCCATCTTTGAAGACTACATGGGTGACGTGCTTGTTCAAAGTTTTTGAAACCTGCAGAAATACACAGAGAGCTCATATTAAAGTCTGATAATTGGAGAATGCTAATGAAATCAGCTAGTGTAGCCCATTTTTAGTGTATACACCATTAGCATAAAAATTTATTCTAAACATTATGTTAAGGACTCTTTTGATCTTTCCCAACTTCACAAGAAGCCTCAAGCAATCAAAACTCCAGTCTCATTAGGCAAGCTAATGCAGGCTACAGGGATGGAATAGCCCTTTGTTTTCAGTCTCCTCCAGGTTACCATTTTCAGCTCCCTACTCTAGATGTATCACTAATTTTGCAACATTTTAATTTATATAGTGCAACATAATTTCTCATGCAACAGCCAGGGTAGAAAGCAGATGCCACTACCCAAAGAAATAACAAAACATCTTTTAGGCAAAAGAACTCAGACTAAAAGCTAACCTCACTTTTTAAACTACATTTTCATCCATAAAAATCACTTTTAGTTTTGAGGGGAAGGCTGTTTACAAACAAAACTTATATGGAAATGCTTTAAAAATGAGAAATACAGAAAATTAAAAGTCAGCACAGATGATCAAATTTTCAATTATCAGCCTCCATTGGCAAGTGATGCTTTCAGTTCTAGATACTCCATTTTTCACAAACAAGGCTTTTCTTGTGGAGACCAAGCACCCCACACAGAACTGCTTGATCAGTTGTTATTGTTGATGTGGCTACATCAATGGAACTCTTTTTTTACTTCAGCATCTCCCCAACCAAATAGAAATAGCTCCAAAACTTTCTGTTGTGCCCTCAGTTGCATCATTATACTTTGCCTAAAACATGCTGGGTGTGTATTTAGCTTTAAGAAAACTATTTAGCTTTTCCAAACATTGCTGGTGACAAGCTGATTATGACTTAGAAGACAAAATCCCATGATATTTCAGTATCTAGGTATAAAATGATCCATCAGTCTCTTACAGAATAAATTATTACTCCAGATGCAATTGCTTACTCACTTCTGCCAGTATCTGCCCCCATGTCCTAAGGATGCTTGATGTAGCTTTGCCTCCAAATTACGGAGGAGCACCACCTTTCACCTCCCTGTCACCTTTCCCACCTCCTCCCGTTACCCTGTGCATCTTCTGCTGCTCAGCTGAACTTTGAGATGTCAGAATCAACAATCTAGCAAAAAACTAATTTAGAATTTAATTTCCTGACACAGTGAACCAAGCCAGCTTAGTACCACGTGCTCAGCCAAGAACAGGGAACTGCCTGGAATAAGGAAGGGGCATGACCATCCCTATTCAGTCATAAGGATATACTAAAAAGGCTCATCTGTATCATCTGCGTGCACCATATTTGGTTATTTTGACACATTTGAAGAATTTTGAAGCCTTGTGCTTCTGCCATATTTTCTGTGAGAAAAAAAGTCTTACATCATAAGAATAGAATTACACAGGTCTGACAGTACAGCACAGAAATATTTGTTTTACTCGAGTTATTTACTTAGAGTTGTGTTTGCTTTAATAACAAAACCAGTTACCCTGTTTTGTCACACTCACTCAGCTTAATTCATACAGAAAAAGAGGATTTGGGGAGAGCAGCCAGATTTCCTAAATTACAGTAAGAGACATCTACACATGCCCATTTTAAAGAGCACTGGGAGTCCACACAAGTATTTTTTTAGAATAAAAATCTAGGCTATAAAAATCTCCATTAACCAGTGACAATGTGCTAGAAGGGAAGATGCCAGTTTGACTTTGGTATCTGGTTGAAATGTTACAGCTGGCAATTAAACATCTTTTGCACCTACAAGTCAAATATATCTGGTATGGAAAAAAATCATTGAGACATATACTGAAACTCTTAAGATGTATTTTTACCAGCACTTTCTGGAACTGATACAAATTTGGGGAGAGTGAATGGAAGAATAAAATGTCATGGTACTTGGGTTAGGAAACATTGTACTAACAACAGAGCAGCTGTTTACAAGTTGATGAAAACAAAACAAAGTAAGATACATGCTTGTAAACCACAGGTTTTCAAGACAGATTTGCTTTGCCCACAGTCTGTGGCAAGCCCAATACTTCCCACAAGAAGCATGATATCACATTAATATGCAAAGAGGTCTGTAGATGTAGAAAGGCTTTAAATGCATTTCCCATCTGTCAGTAGCAAGAATATTGCAGCACACTGGTCTATTCTCAGGTCTCTGATTTTCTGCCTTCTTGCCCTTTAAAAACTCATACTAAAAAGAAATATATGTGACAAGTAGAAGAAGCAAGCTAATTTATAATTAAGATCTTTCCTATTCCATTTATTTCAAAATAGTTCTCTTACTTTTGCTCCCATATCAAGAAGCTGCTGTTCAAAGGTTTTTGAGTAATTTTCTGTTCTGTTAGATGACCAAACTTCTACAAAGGCAGAAACACCTGGATCAGAAGACAGAAAACAACAACTAATGAAGTTTTACCATGGTAAAACTTGTTAAGCTGCCTCTTTCCAATAAAAGTTTATTTTGTACATACTGCATTCAGTTGCAAATACAGCTTTTAGTAAACTGAGAGTCAGACTTCAGCTGCAAAATTTTTTTTAGTGTATTTATGTCCCGTAAATTAATTGTAATGGAAATAACTTAGAAGCCTGACATTAGCTAACTTTCTACTTCATCTATTTAAAACACACTACCAGCTTAACAAGCAATACATTATCTTTACATGACTGCTCACTCTTACCATTACTTAATCACTTTTAATCTTCAGAATAGTTAAAAATTTGAAAACCAGTTGATACAACACAACTTCCAGAACAAATAGAAAACCACAATAGAATTACTCCTTGCCCAAACTCCCAGAAAATGTTGCAGAAATATTACTTAACACTTTCCAATTGACTTCAATTTTCATTTTATTTATATTGAAAGACCCAAAATTACATACTTATAACAGAGGTTAATAAAATCCCCTATCAGTTGCCATATGCAACTTGAGATATTAAGATTTAATTAGCTTGCTTCATTAAGCAGATTAATAAACTCTTCAAGGAATCAGGTCAGCCTTGCTTGAGAACATCTTCAAGCAACCAACCGAAGACAGAAGCACTGAAAAGTAGGGATAAACAAATAAAACTCATAACAATCTCTTCATTAATTTTACATAGGAGAGGCACCAAAGTGACCTACAGTTCCACTGGCCATGCCACTTTCCCATATTGAATGGCAAATCAGGAAAATTCCAAAAACTGGAGAAATGGCAGTTCACCAAAAACAACTTCAGGCAAAGGCCAGACAAGTCTAAGAACTCAGGAATAAAACCAAGAGTTTAATTTTGAAAGGGTCATCCTTAGCAAATATTGCTTAATTATCTTAGTAGCTAAGATGATTAAGCATATCCTTCTGATTAATTATTATGTAGTCTCATCTGTCTTCTTTCTAAATGAAAACCAGAATAATGCTCCAATTATTCATAACAATAGGAGTACTCTCATAAAGATTTACGTACTTTTACAATTACTAGAAATATTTTTGAAATACAAGAGAAATGTGAAACAAAGCACTTCCTTATGCAAAGCACTGGGAAAAATCTTATTATCAGTACTATGAATTCAGATATAAATGGGAATTTAAGACAAGTCTACTCCAATGTGCTTTTAACTGTGTTCATTCTGTTACCAGACTGGGGCAGATTCTGCCAGAGTTGCTTTATTCCTTGATAGTTCCATTGTGAAAAAAAAAGCACTTGAATTTGAAAAGATAGTATCTTCCTCTTATATCAAATATTTCAGGACTTTCATAGCTAAAATTCTCCTGGAAAAACACATCAGAACATTTCAGTAAAGGTCTGGAACTAACTAGGAACTTAAAGGGATGCTACTTCAAAACTCCATGCCCTTGCAATAGGATCAAAGGTGCATTTTACATACATAATAATTAGTCAGTTTTAGCTAATCAAATATATTCCAGCAAACGGCAAAGCTTTTTGCAGGTTTTGTACAGCGGATGAAAAGGAAAACGAGGAAGTGCTTTTTTGAACTAAAAGATCTCTGAGTAGAGATCGGTTCTTGTAAACGTCAGCCTTAGCAGTTCTCAGAGAAGGAGGTGATCGCAGAGGAAAATGGCCATGAGAGGGCAACTTAGCGAGGCAGAAGTTTTGATATGCAGAAGAAAGCCACGACTGACCGGAGTAGGAAGGACAGAGGGGTCGGGGTCAGTGCCTCACGGGGAGGACCCTGCAGTGCCACCCGAGCGGAGGGAGGCGGCCGGGCCTGCGCCCGGGCACAGCCCGCTCCCACCGGGCCGACCCCCAGGCCCCGCCGCCGGGATCGGGCGGGTTAGCGGCGGGTCAGAGCCACCCGCGGGGCCTCCACAGCCGCCCGCCACCCGCCCTGCCGGGAAGCGCCGCGCCAAGGGCTGCAAGGAGAAACGGGGCAGGGGCAGCGCGGAGCCCGCGCCGGGAGAAGCCACCGCAGGACGGCCGAGCCGGTACCTTTCAGGGCGGGCTCCATTGGCAGCACAGCCCGGCAGCTCGCAGCGCCCGCCACGGTTCAAACCCGCCCCCGCGTATGGCCCCGCCGCGCCTGCGCACCAGGGCCCTGCCGCGCCTGCGCACCAGGGCCCTGCTGCGGCCGTGCTGCTGCGGGGCGCGGAGCGGCTGTGGGCTCGCGGGCCTGCGCGTCTGGTCGGAAATGGGGTGTGCTCGGCCCAGCTCCGGCCCTTTCCGGCCCCGGGGAAGGCTTGGCACAGCCGCATGCTGCTGGAAACGGTGTCACACAAGTAATTAGGTTGGAAAATACTTCTGAGATCATCGAGTCCAGCCTATGACCCAACGCTGCTCTGTACACTGAGTTCCACATTCAGTCTTTCTGTAAACATCTCCAGGGTCAGTGACTCCACCACTTCTCTGGGCAGCCCATTCCAATATCGAATCACCTTTCCCGTTAAAAAACTCGTCCTAATATCCAGCCTAAACTGCCCCTGCTACAGCTTAAAACTATGTCCTCTCATCCTGTCGCTAGTTCCTGGGACAAGAGTCTGACCCGTAGGTGGCTGCAGCTATCTTTCTGCAGCTGTAGAGAGCAATGAGGTCCCTCCTGAGCCTCCTCCAGGCCAAACACCCCCAGCTCCCTCAGCTGCTCCTCACAGCCCTTATGCTCCAGAGCCTCCACCAGCTCTGCTGCCCTTCTATGGACTTGCTCCAGCTCCTCAAAGTTCTTTCTGAATTGAGGGGCCCAGAACTGGGCACAGAGCTTGGTGACCTCACTGTGCTCAGTACAGGGGGACAATCTCTGGTCCTGGTCCTGCTGGCCACACTACTGCTGACAGAGGCCAGGATGCCACGAAGTTTTGACAAAGCCAAACACTGAGTCAATTTTCTGTGTGACCGTTTGCCATAAGGAGTCCTAAAGAAGCATTCCTGAAGAATTTTAGTTTGTAGGAAAGTCCAGCATCAGAGAACTGCTGGTCTCTCAACTCTGGTGGCCCAAACTGCAGCATGTGAAGTGAGAAAACAAATAATAGAAAAAGGCAGCAAAATAGGGGTTAGTAAAGAGCACTGTGAGACAGTATTTACCAAAGCATGTTAAACTGCTTGAGAGCAACTGTGCCATCAACTATAGTTAGGGAACCCTAACAGGAGCTGGCTGTGGTGCTCGAAGGCTGGAGTGTAGAAAATGTGATACCAGAGGGAAGTTTGAGAAAAAGTCATGCTTTATCCCAGGGAAAAATGATAAAATGTATAATAAAATAAGGGAATTAGTGAGTTTAAGGAGATCTGCTGTGAGAAAGAAGGAGCACATAGAGGAAAATGATGCTGCATAGCTTTATTATGCAACTCACAGAGATCGAGAGTTACTATATAGTTGTGCAAATTGACGCTGTTCTGAAATCTTCAATATCTAATGGTAATTTCATCATCTGAAAAATAATATAGCTGACATGGAAAAACAACAGAGATGCAACACAAAGATACTAAGTGATTTCCATATGAGAAATAGCTATTCAGACAAGGACTTTTCCGCTTGGAAAAGAAACGGTGGAAGGGGGGTATACTAGAGGCCCTTAGAATCACGAGTGTGTGCAGAAGGTGAACATGGAGAGGTATGTTCCCAACAACAGCTAGTTAGTACCAAAAAAGACTACCAGATGGGGTCTTCTCAGAAGACATATTTCCATATTGTGCCTCATGAGGCTGTAGAAGTGTTCAGAGTGCTGGCAAACCACATGGTTTCTGAAGCAAATCCAGCAAATTAATGAAAACCAGTTTAAGACTATCAAAAATGTACAAAATCACCTTTTCCTTAGTAGAGCCTTGAACTGTATATTGCTGAACTCTGAGAAGGTACATAGAACACTTCATGTTCTTCTTTTTTTTCAGTCATTTTGTACTGGAGAGACAGTGCTGACCTAAAAGATTTTGATGTGGTCGATTATGCACATTCATACTTTTGTGGACAGACTCAGATCTTGACTCCTAGGAGTCTACTGAGCAGATGGCTTTACTAATGCTTTTTAAGATCTGTTAATCTAGTATGTAAAATTTTGGTATTGATACAGTTTGTTTCATTTCCAGGGCATTGGTGATGAACTAGATCTGTGGCAAGTGTTGAGCATATAAATTCTTGGGTGCTCCCTCTGCTGAATGTTTTCCTTTCACTTATGTATTCTCTATGTGTATAAAGTAACCAGTCAATCTATGCTTGTTTTTATTTACCTATCCTTGGTACTTCTGTATGTTACACAGTTCTTTGCTGGGCAATAATAAAATATTTTTACCAAGGTTCTCAACTGTGCCTCAAGGAAAAGGGAGTTGTGTCTAATGCAGCATCTATAAACATTGATCTGGAGGCAAGTCCAGAAGGGGAGGTAGGGGAGATTTAAACATGCCTTGAAAATCCTCAGTAACAAACACACAGGCTATGTTTGAGCCTTCAGCTGAAAGGTAGTAGCAGGTTTTATAGATGCTAAAGGCAAATGTGCTGAAATGTGCAATTACACCTGCATGTTCTGATTCTGCGCGGGCAGAGACAATGAAAAGTAGTAATTGCAAGAAGATGTAATTTGTTATCACAGCAGACGAGGACTACTCATGAGAACCCTGTGTTTGAGATGCCCATCTTTTTATCACAGAAATGAATACACAGAATACTGAAACTGTCCCACAAATTTACAAGTTTTTCTTAAACGATTGTAGTTTTGACCTTAGGATTTAATTTAAGAACTTAATTCTCAGATGGTGACAAACTTCAGAATTCCTCTGGTAGTTAATAGTTGTCTGTTCTTGTGCCAGTATTGTCTTGCTGTCAGTTACTCCTCAGAATTTATCATCCTCTGGCACTTACAGGATGCAACACTATATTTTTACAGCTATTTTGCCAGTTTGAATATATCAGGGTGTTTTAACTTTCATGCCACAATGAACTT